AAGAAAAAAGTATAGGAGAAGAAAGAAGTATAAGAAGAGAAGGAAGAAGAAGAAGAAGCGTAGGAGGAGAAGGAAAAAGTATAAGAAGAGAAGGAAGAAGAAGAAGAAGCGTAGGAGGAGAAGGAAAAACTATAAGAAGAGAAGGAAGAAGAAGAAGAAGCGTAGGAGAAGAAAAAAGTATAAGAAGAGAAGGAAGAAGAAGAAGCGTAGGAGGAGAAGAAAAAAGTATAAGAAGAGAAGGAAGAAGAAGCGTAGGAGGAGAAGGAAAAAGAAGGATAAGAGGAAAAGGAAGAAGAAGAAGCGTAGGAGGAGAAGGAAAAAGTATAAGAAGAGAAGGAAGAAGATGAAGCGTAGAAGGAGAAGGAAAAAGTAGAAGAGAAGGAGGAAGAAGAAGCGTAGGAGGAGAAGGAAAAAAAAAATAGGAGGTGGAAGAGGAAGAAGAGATAGAGTAGGAAAAGAAAGCTAATGGATACTAAAAAAACAAAAGGAAGACGAAAAATAGGAAGAATAAAAAAAAAAAATTATCTCTCTTTTTCTTTCAAACACTAAAATCCCCTTCGATATTTTCTAGCCCACAACAAAATGGGCTTCAACACACACATTCAACGAACAGATCTGAACTGAACCGAACTGAACCTGCTGAACGAAGACTCTCAACTGATAATACGAAGAAAGTGAGGCAGTGCAGCTTCATGATTTGCCTGAAGACGATGTGCTCACAAAGATGGCACTGTGTAAAGGCACCTTTTTAAAGTGCCTCGGCGTCTCTGTGCGTTGCCTCGCTTTTGTTGTATCTTTCTGTAGTTTCCCTCTTCTGTTTTATATCCTTCTGCTCTGGCGAATACACACATACACACATACACACACATACATACACACACACACACACACACACACACACACACACATACACACACACACACACACACACACACATACACACACACACACACACACACACACACACACACACACACACACACACACACACACACACACACATACACACACACACACACACACACACACACACACACACACACACATACACACACACACACACACACACACACACATACACACACACACACACACACACACACACACACACACACACACACACACACACACACACATACACACACACACACACACACACACACACACACACACACACACACATACACACACACATACACACACACACACACACACACACACACACACACACACACACACACACACATATATATATATATATATATATATATATATATATATATATATATATATATATATATATAAAACACGTGTGCATGTGTTAACAGGGAATTACTTCTCGCAACTCCGAAAAGCCCTTGACCTCGATTGACCTCTCTTGCCCTCTCTTGCCCTCTCTTGCCCTCTCTTTCCTTCTCCTTACCTGATATTTTACTGATTGCCGTCCTTAAATAAAAACTTACCGTTAGACTTTTTTTTATAGAAAGGATTTCAAATGAATTGTTAGTACTGGCACTGTTCATTGCATAAGATGATTTTTTTTTTCAATATCATTCAGATCTTTATCAATCTCTCTTTTTATTATTATCGTATGACTGTGATATCTTCCTTCCTGAGAAAGGATAAACAGTCAAACTATTAATGAATATTGATTCTACATAATTGTGTGTACAGATCAAATCAATGATGGAAGTAATTTGATTTATTTTAAGGAAAAAAGTGTTTACGATTGAAATACTCTTATTTAAGTCCCCCCAGGACTTACTGTAGTACTAAGGTTTTCTATGATAGTAATTGACATATAGAAAAAAACGAAGTATCTAGTAATTATATGTGTAACTAATATATATATATAACTTGTCCAACAACTAGTTTATCATTACTTTTATTGTTATGATTATTACCAAATCAACTATTCTAAAATCATACATACCTTGATAAATACAGCTTATTACATTAGCATTAATGTAGTATAAAAATACTGTAAAATGTATGTAAAACTGTTTAGATATAATTTGAAATATATTTACTTATAGTGTTGAAAAGGTTTCTTTAGTAAAGCTACATAATATATTTCACCTGCTTGTAAAGGTTCTACTCCAAATGTAATATAATATTTTAGAAATCAGATAAAATTAATAATGTTCTCTAGAAAAATATTGTTTCTCACAATAAAATAGGATACAATTATTATGGAACAGAAATGTTAAAAATGCACTTTTCTTTGCATAAAACATATTCAACTATTATGGAGACTATCACTGTTGCAGAGAAATTATATTAACTGAAATTAATAGAAACAGGAAAGTTCGTAATCATATATATCAAAAGCCTGAAAAATTGATTTAGTATCAAAATTAAGAAAGAGCAAAAAAACGAAACAGGCAGGAGAATAACTAACAAAAGTAAATGAAAAATAACAATCATAAAATCATAAATAAAGTAAATAAATAAAAAGCAGATTATCGATATTGCATATCCTGAATTGATAATTTCTTCAGACTTTTTGACACGGATTTTACAGGTAATGCATTTTTTTTCTTGACAGACTTATTCCAAAATACTCCATATCCACACATCATTTTACACACGGTCGATAACATAAATCAATAAATCAAAGTGACACGATTGTGGTAAACGAATAGGATAAAAAAATGCATACAAAAGAAGATTTAATTATACTGTCTTTGAACGATGAGATAACACCTCGCATCAGACTATATGAAATATTTATCGAATGAATATTGCCCAGCTCTAAAATTGTATCGTGGTTACTTAATGCATTTTGTACGAATCTTCTGAACTGTGACCTGGGATGGCCGAATAAGAGTCATTATTCCAGAAATAATGTCAAATTGTTGTATAATCGGAAGTGATGTCATGAATCTTTAAGATCCGGGACTTTGCAGGGCATTCGGTGAGGTCATTCGGCAAGAGAATTTGAACATATAACGAAGGCGTGAGATGCTTTCGTTAGTTCGTTTCTCGGAGCTGCACTGAGAATCCCCCCCCCCCCCCCGAGTAAATTGGATTGCTTTTAAAAGGTCCAACTTTAACATGGATATGGATTCCGGAGTAGGTGAGGGTATGGCATTGGTTTTGCTGGTAAGATGTGTCCTATACAATGAACTATCAATATACTGTATATGATGATTTTCATCCAGTCAGATTTTGAATTGACTTTTTTTCTTTCTCATTTTTCCAGCGTCGGTTACAAGGCATGAGTTCTCCGGCGCGAGTACTACTTTCTGCTTTCCTGGCTCTCCTGAGGACGTCTGGAGGTACGACCCGGTTTAGCTTATGGGTTTTAGCTTTGTTAGACGCCCATTTATGTCTGTACATCCAATCCTTTTTTCTTTCTGTTGTTTGTCTTGAATTGTGTTTTGACTTCATTTTCCATTTTAGGTCTTCGAAGTTTCATGATAAAGTTGTGGTGGAGCTTCCCTTGACGCCGCCTCCGTCGCCGCAATTGCCTTCGTCGCCTCCACGATCGCCGTTCGCGCCCTCGGCTACCCCTCCCTACGCCCCGGTCCCTCCTCCCGCGCCCACGACCACCCCTTCCCCAGCTCCTCTTCACTGCAGGGTCTCCTCGGCCGCCCACGATATCATCCCGATGCGCCCTTCCTCTCCTCCCGCGGTTCTCGCGGCCATTTTAACTCCGCCTCCTGCAGCTCCTCCGTCGCCCACGCCCTCCAACGCCCTTCCTCCCTCGCTGGCTTCAGGAGAGGTTCTTCCCTCCCGAAGGACGACTCTAGAGCTTCCTGCAACGCCGTCTTCAAAGCGCTGTTGCATGTCTCCGGCGGACGCGGCCGCTGTCGTCAACCTGGTGGCGATGTTGATGTTGTTCGTGGCCATTATGATATTTCTCAAGAAAATCTACGGCTGATCTGACTTTATTTCAATAAAATGTTTAATATATTCATTGTTTGAAGATGTTGATCCTTCGTCTGACTCTCTTGTTTTGGGTTGAGCCTTTGCGCCCGAGCTTGGTTTGGAAAATACTGCACATTCACTGTATTTTTTAAAAATCTATTTGGGTTTGGCTGTTTGGACATATACATAACAAATGTTATGTACATTTTAAGACCACAAAGCTCATTTTACATGAATTTCCTGTTTTTTTTCGACGACTTCAATAATAATAAGAACATCTTTCCATTCATGAAAACGGGTTTTCTGTTCTCCCACCCGGGATCTTTACCTTTACCTTCAATGGAAGATTCTAACTCAGCTTTTGAGACATACAAAAGACTTATGAAACCTTTGTGCAGTAAGTCAGTTGCAGTAATTGAATGTCTCCATTTCTTCAAGTGACCTGATGTGACTTAAGATCAACGACAGATGAATAAGATCAACTGGAAGTTTCATAACTGATCATGAGGACAGAACAATCAAAAGGTCTTGGCAAATATAGCAGGTGATGCATGGTTTTCTCAATCCTCATATTTTAATTGTCTATCGTAGGCACCTTCAACTTGGAGCTTCTTTTCGTCTCCCCAAGCGTGGCCTCTCCCTCACAAAGTTTTCTACTGCTGCCTGACTCCGTTGAGCTGTGGCAATATTCAAATTTAAGATTAGAAATAATATCTGCGTATCTTTTATCGTCAACGGAAGAAGTTCTCTTCGTGGCGTTGTTGTGACGCACTTATTTAAAAACTATATTGTTCTGATATAATTCATTTTATGAGAATAGACGATGGTATTAGATGTTGATGATTACAGAACAACCTTTATAATGGTGGTGGTGTCATCCTGATATGAAAGGGAGTAAAGAGAAGAATGCATCTTCACGAATAAGTTTTTATTTTTGTATTTTTTTGAAACACACCTAGAAATAAAAGCATTTCCAAATCAGCTGTAGATTTTCTTGAGAAATATCATAATGGCCACGAACAACATCAACATCGCCACCAGGTTGACGACGGCGGCCGCGTCCGCCGGAGACATGCAACAGCGCTTTGAAGACGGCGTTGCGGGAAGCTGTGGAGTCGTCCTTCGGG